TAAGGGCACATTTGTCTGCTAGGGCTTACTTACAAAAATGTCACGGAGAGAGGGCGTTATTCGCATTCTGTCCGCATGTCTCTCCTTCGCACTTTTATCTTATATATTTTGGAATATAAATAAAACTTCTGTCCACAACCTTTTCTTCTTTCTATTCCATATCCAATTTCACTTCGCAAATAGACTATTCTCGATCAACAGACGGACCTTAGCTGGGCAAAACTGGCAGCGATTTTAACGCTATTCTGAAAATTACTGAGTCAAAGGTCATTCAGGAATCTAACTCTGAGAGTGTCTTAAAAAAACAACAACATAATTCTCGTTTTACAGCCTTGGGTGGGGGGTTGCGTGCCTTCATGAACTTTATTATCATCACGAAATGCAAATTTAGACCCCCCTCAACGTTGACATTAATTCGTCACTAAATTATTGTAGCCGGTCTTCGAGACTTTATTTACCACCCAAATCGCAGAATCCTAGAGCAGCAGGCAAACTGTGAATAAAGGTCAGTAGAAGATTAGCTCTGGGAAATTAATAAACTTTGGTAGATGTGCCCCGACCGATCAGTTACAGAATTTACTGTCCCGGTTCTTCAGCCTATTACATTCTAGCTGCTGAGCGGTTGCTGTTGCGGCCTGAGAGGGAGACTCCCAAAGCACAAATTGGACTAAAGAACTTCCTGAGCTCCGCTACTGGGCAATGAAATTAGATAGACGCGGTTGATGGGGCAATAATTTTATTCATCTGCCGTTTTTTAATCATGCAGATAGGGTTCACCTGCGCAAGACTATGACTATGATACCACTACCTATGAGTAAGGATTCCTGACGGAATCCGAAACGTCGGGACAATGAAACTCTTGTTCCAGTGGTCGCAGCTCCTTCTTCTGAACAATAAGAAGGATATCACTTTGGCAGATTCACCCGGAGGAGGGTTTATTGTGTACAAAACCCGGAGTTGCCGTCTCGGGTGGCAGTTGCCGCTGGTTGATCTCCAGCGCACCCTTTGTCCCGGCTACGGAGCCAGTGCCCGGCAATCGGGACCGGACTGGCGGTGTCCTCGCAGTCCGTGTGTGCAACTCACCGTCTGAGAAGTGACAGTGGCTTAGTTTACTGTTCCGTATTGGTGGATTCCATATGAGCGGTAAAGTTGGGCGGGTAATATCGACCCAAGTGTTATTAAAC